GAGAGACAGAAGACTGTGAGAGAACTCATTAATTTCCAATAAAAAACGTTGTAAAATTGTCTCAATAAAATATAATGACGTATTAAAATTGAACGCTTCAAGAATGTTCATATCATAATCTATTTATACAATGTTTTGTAATTATTACCATTAAATTACCATAATTTTAATTTTAATATTTTGTATTCCAGGCTTACAATTTCGCATAGATGTGATGGAGCTTAATATTCCTTTCAGATACGTCAATGAATTCTTAAGTATTATTAAAGTCTTTGCTCTTTTGCTTTCTTTCTTTAATTATACTTAATTGTGCTTTATCTCTTCCAGGAGCATTCAGTTTAAATGGAAGAATGGAATGGTCTGTACTTACCATTCCATTCTTCCATTTAAACTTACCGCAAAAGGGGTGATAACGGGGTGAAGTAAACGAAATGCTTTTGGTCCGTAAGTTAGATTATAAAAAAAAGACACGTAGTCAACCAAAAAAATATAAAGAAAAAGCGTGTCCAAATTGTACCAATACGTGACGTCACGCGACATTTCCAATCAATATATCTCTGCAATGTTTTGATATTGTGAAAAAAAAATACGCGTCCAAAACTTTCTGATTATCTACTTGATGGACGCAGAAAAATAAGTTAGACATCATTCCCTTTATACGGATTCTATTCATCAAATTTAGTGTTTTCTCTCTAGCGTAGTGCATGTATACGATGTAAATCAGCAGATCATAATTATAATATATCTAAAAAGCCTTTAATTTCTTACTTGTAACAAAAGAAAAAAACAACGAACTAAAAACTATAAATAAAAGCAGACCAAAAGCTTAAATAAAAAAGAAATGAAGATCTGTAATACTTATACAATTTCATGGAAATCGATAAGGTGATACTTAGCAAGCAATATAAGTATATTAGTATTGAACCAAAAAATCTTTTAATTTTTGTTTCTTAGGTTTTTACGCATATCGCACTCATTAAATAAAACAAGTTTCAACGGGTAAGAAGCACTGATTTTATTTATTTATTGACGTTTCGCAGCCTTTACAGGAATGCGTCGTCGAAATAAATTATTTTTTTATTTACTTTATCATATTTTATTTACTTTGTCGAGCTACCATTCCGACGACGCACTTCTGCAAAGGATGCGAAACGTCAATAAATAAATAAAATCAGTGCATCTTACCCATTGAAACTTGTTTTATTTATATTTTAATTTTATTCAGATTCGTTTACGACTCAGTTTGAATATTTTGGGAGCCTCTCCAAACAGCCATCTCGGATCATTATAGGCGCTCGAGGGTGGTTGTGTTCCAAGCTAGTTGTCTTGACAAACTGCCCCAAGCGATTTACCTTGAACCTGGCCTTGCAAGGGTAACCGTTGGTGCATCGCCAAACGCCCGCGTTATTTGAAAGTCCCAACTTCGTCTTGTAGCACCTGTAGAAAGTGTGTCCTTCGTACACCGCGAGTCGCGTGCCCCTTTTGTTACTAACAGTAACAAACTCCACTGAAAACGAAAGAAAAGTTGACAAGATATGCTATACATACATAGCTACATGGTACTCTGTAGATATGTCATACTTTTAAACTTTCATGGGCACTAACATTATAGTAATATAAGTTATTTACGGGATTGTTACCATGTACCTTGTTTTTAGCGAGTTTCCGACATTTCGGCACTGTTGCAGTTACTCTGTGATCATGGTGCTTGCAACAGTGCCGAAATATCGGAAACTCGCTAAAAACAAGGTACAGGTTAATAATCCCATAAATAACTTATATTACTATGACATACTTTATAACTATTTAGCTACACAACTTTATAAGGCACAGTGGGTTGCAGAGGAATAGACGGAAAAAAACTAAAAAGTGGGATAGAATATTTAAAATTATATTAAGACATAATCATAATATTTCTAAATAACTGTTGGGTTATTCACATCGTAAACCAAGAACCTACATTAGTAGATTAAGCAGAAATTAATTATAATAAAATAAATATAAAATGAAAATTTATTTGGGCTTAAAGAAATTTCCATATCTTGTCTCTTTACTCCGCTTCCTTCACACTCATTTGTTTTCATTTATTAGGCCTCAATCCCATTTCAACGGTCTATAAAATCGGATGCGTTATTGGGATAATACATATACACACATAATATATAGCCCTACTTCAACTGCGTTGATAACACCGCAACAGTATGAACCCTAATAGTCGTTCTAATACATAATGTACCAAAAACAAATATCGCAATATCGCATCGGATATATTCGACCGATAGTAACGCGCCTATGGTGGAAGACTTTAGCATCATTTATCAAGGGGATTGCATAGGATTGGCTATTTTAAGCCTGAAAGCACATCATAAAAGCCTTCACTTTCCGTACCTAAACCTCGTCGACTTATTTTTTCTAACTTTGTATTTATTACATTCGAGTTCAATTAATAACTAAGTCGGTATGTATAACGCAAAAGTTTCATAATCTCAAGGTGTACCTTAAGATTTCGCATACAAAATGACTATAGTCAAGTGCTATGATTTGGGAGTCATTCCCACGAAGTTTGGTTAGATCATTTTCATTGCAATATGGTTGAAACTTTCAGAAATAACAGTGTTGAAACGTCATAAATACAAATCTATTCAAATTTAATGACGTTCCTGAAAATAAAACTCCTTGCAAATGATATCATTACGTTTTATAAATAACTACATGTGCCCCGCGGTGCTACCCGCGGTTTATTAGTAATATTTTCCTGCAGTGAAACGTGGCCTTTGTGTTAATCCAGGGTATCAGCTAACTCCATACCAAATTTTATTAAAATCGCTCCAGCTGTTTAGACGCGAAGAAGTAACAAACATACACACGCACAAACTTTCACCTCTATAATATTAGTGTGATAATAAAAGGATTCATATATGTTGAGCATTTCTTTTATTAGTTAATAAATTAGTATCTATCGCACGTTCTCTATTGATCTTCATCTTCTCCTTTAATAACTTAACACAAAATATTCTTTATTTCCGTATATACAAATATTTTACACAAAATAGAACATTAATCTGTGTACACAACCCCTTACTTACTACAGTGGCTATTGAAACATAGATCTTTATTCTTTACCTATAACAGTAGCTCGTTTACAGTTTTATGTTAATTTGCCGTTTTTGGACAAAGTGATTACTAAACACCAAAATATTCCTAAAATACACACTTTTACTGTAGGTAGCTAAAAGAATTAAAAAATACGCATAAAACATTTCGAAAAAACTATCTGCAAGTATTAAAACATTTAAATAAATTTACTCCATAACATAACATTAATATAGAACTTGAAAAATATCTATTAAACAGGTACATTCTATACTCTTTAAATCATGCTATTTGATAATGACCACAAATGTGCAGAAACACGCACAAGTCTAAGATATTGTCCGTAAACTGTAGTCACAGGTTTGTCACCCTATAAATGGATTTATTTTTTCATCCTTACATTCCTAGCCCCTGGCGGGTGATGCGTAGGACATCACAACTTTGATGAAATTGACGCCGAATGTCCCATTTGGTAGAATATATAAAAAATTACACATGGAAAAAATGTTTTTCCACATGTAATTTTTTTTGAATTTATTGTTTCCTTAATTTTAATACCCACGGCTAAGGTCTCGGTACCTAGTGCGTCTGCCCGGATAGCATAAGGTGCATGTTCGAATTCTGCTTGACGCCTGCACTACAGTGTTTTTTTCTACAAAAATAAATCTAATCTTCAAATTTATGTATGAGGTTCGTGATTGTGCGGGCCGCTGTTTTTAATAATAGTATTTTCGTAAGTGATAAGCGATCCACGGCAGGCTTTGTTCTTTTTCACGCAGCGCCATCTGGTTTTCTGACCGTAACTGTAGTCTTTTATGTATCTGAAACCGTCCATTTGAATCACCCGCCCCCGATTTTTGGTCTGCAGGAAAAAGGCACCTGAAATATACCAACCAATAAAAATCAATCTTTACAACATAGCAAGCAACGATGGCAAAATGTCGGAGCAAATAATGAGGTGCATGATAGAAAGTTAACAATGCAGTAACGGTTACTTCAGATTCTCACACGCCTGTAAAATTTTCACATTTCACACACACTTCGGAACCGCGCGGATCCGATGTGGTGAAAATTTTACAAAGAAATGTGGCACACATAAAACTATTATAATGTAGGCGTGCGTTAAGAAAGGATTTTGTAAAACGCGGGTTCAAAAGTTAACGCGGACAAAGTCGCGGGCGGCCGCTAGTTTAAATATGTGGCAATTTTAATAGTTATATATTTTATTTTTTAAGCATTGGACTGCCAGATGTTTAAATCTAAAGGGAAATTTTACATTTTAAAAGAAATATACAATGGATTCGCCCGGATAGCGAAGGGAGCGATTTCGAGTCTCGTCTGCTGTCTGGTCAGCGTGGAATTTTTTCTAGTAATATTTCCCCTTAAGCTGTTTTAGTAAATTTTAAATAAGGTATCCCATTAAAAACACAAGTCATATTATAGCAGAGCTCTGAAAGAAAATAATCAACATTAATTCCCGTTCTGATTATCTTAAGAAAATATTACTTAAGACGATAATTTTATTAATCTTAGTTTACTAATACTTAAGTTCCTTTTACCTTTATAAATCTGTATCTTCATGAATTTACCGTAAAAATATTTGATTGAGTTAATTGTACAGATAGTATCATCTAGATCATCATCATCATCACCCGCGGCTATGAAAGAGCGGGTACTAAAATGATACCAGGTTTAATTTTAAATAGGAAAAAACATCGACTGATCGAAACAAAGGTAATTAAAAAAAAATAACAATTATTTCATTTTTTTGGGTGAATTTAATGTAGAAATAGATAAATGATATCATTTAAGGGTGTTAGTACAATTTTTTTATATATTGGGCACTATTATTACAATTATTCTTATCGTAAATACATCAAAAGGCGAAGATTGTTTAGGAAAATAGGCTAAATATGCGTTGTACTTGGATAAAAAACCATTTGCTGGTTATCTTTGACCCTGACGTAATTCCCGCTCGGTGCTCTGTAGTAAGCGAGGGGCTCATGATCGTGATCTCCAGAAGTACCAATGGCCACCAGGTCAGAGTTGGTGACCAGGGTGACCTTGCAGCCTTTGTGATACTTACTGCAATACCACTTGAAGTAGCCGTGCTTGGTGGTCCGCTTCCTGTTGTAAGAATACTCCTTGTACAAAAGCAGCTTTGTGCCGTTATACTGCTTTATAATGCGACACACTGTGGAACAACGCAACATAGTTTAATATATAAACAAAAAAGTGTCATATTTAAAAAATAATAGACAAGACAAGCGTGAGACGAGACAAGCGAGTTATAAGCATTACAGCCTAATTATTGCTTAAATTAGAGCGCCTGTCTGATGAAGTAACTTCCACATAAAGTTGCATCTTAGTTATATAATAAAATATGTTTTATAACATAGTTGTATAGCATGTTATTTAAAAAGACAGACATCTTATTCCTTTGAAGGCTTTAATTGAGATGCATCTTTACAGAAGATAGGCTTCGACTCTGCGCCAGTGTGAGTTGAGCTGTTAGGTTTTCAGTTCTTCATCCGTTTGGGGATAGAGTAAGGACAGTAGTAAACATTTCACGGTCAATTACTAATTTACCATCAGGCAGAGAATAAGCTTGCTAACTTCAATATTAATGTTACATAAAAAAATCATATCAGACATGAAACGAAAAGAAATGGATAAACAAACAAACAAAAACTTTTTTATGAAATTCATTAAAATTTAATAAAATTATCTATATTAATTTGGTTCCACTAAAGTTCTCCGTTACCAATGTAAAGAGTCGAAAATTTGTGAAAAGGCAGACATTTTTACGTAATTGAGTACGCTTTAAATTTTATTAACAATTAATACTTATCTGCTATTATATAGTATAACTGTTATAATAAAGTACCTATGTTTAAAATTTTGATCACATTTCGTTCCAAAATTGTTTCCAAAACACCTTAAAGTTATTACATATTTTACAAAATTACGTACAAAGAACTATCCTTTGGTAGTTAACATTTAAATTCACCACTGTATCATCAATAATATTATTTGAAATAAAATATTCAACAACAAAAATATACACAACACGCATAATTTATTTCGAATAGCGCCATGTTGAATATTTTCTGTTCAATTCAATTTGTACAAAGTGTAAACAATGTAGTTGTATCGAAGTAACAATAATAAAAAAAAATGAAAAAATAAATGTGTCGTGGGACACTCGGTTGGAACGAAGTTAAAAATAGACTTAAGTAAACAATTACGAACAAACGCTACGAAATAACTGACGGTTGTGACGACAAAATCTTACACCTTTTTTTCGCCTATTCGCCAATTCCGTGCCTTCCTTATTCAAAATAACTTCGTTCCACATTTTCGCCACAGTTAGGTTAGGTTAGGTTATTGTGCAAATTTTCATGCTTTTAGAGTTCAGTTTGTAAAACTCAACCATTGTGCTTGTGGCTTTTTTATAATGTAGCCACCCCATTGTTCTGTTTCGCCAGGTCAAGAAATATCTAAATGTAAGGATTAAGAAAATGTATAAGCATTTTTAAAACTATATGTAATTTTGAGAATGTTCAGAGATCTATGGTGTTTTGACCATAGTAATTTGAAGTCGAGCAAACGATTAATTCCATGATCAAACGAAAAACGTGATTGGGCAACATCTTATATACTTACCCATAGATCACTTGTCCTACAAACATAAATACCTAGTTGATAAATGATAAAAACAGTTCGGGAGAATCATTTCAAAATTCTTTAAAAAACTATTTGAAAACATTGTTTACATTCTATACAAATTTGATTTGAACAGACTTTATTGGGATAATTATAAGCATTATTAGCTATCCGCCTTAGCGCTTATATAAAAAAGATGAAAAGCAAAAAAAACGAGCGAGCCTTACAGTAGTCGCGTATGATGTGTAACATTTGAAACCTCACCTTATATAAGTAAAATTAGAAATAAAACCTACTACAAAAGGAATAAGTCATATGAACATTATGTTCTAAAATCAAAGCAAATAGCGCGCGCTTTCGAGAGTTCCTGTTACACACTTCCGTCCCGTTTCACGAAATCACTCCCACAAATTGTAGGAAAGCGATAGAAAAGATGTTACACATTAAAAATATCTGTCACGCTGCTGAACAAAGGGTGAAAATAGTAACACTGATTAAAGAACATGTAACAACTACTGTTTCGGGTCAACATCGCACCTGGCAAGCAAAAAATTCTGGAAAATGTGGCGTAGTAGGGGCATTTTCTTCAAGAAGGTGACATAAACAAAAGTATGCAACAATAAGTTTTCATTGCGTTATTTTTTTGTTCCCATCTTTGATTATGGTTCCCATAAGCCTTCGACGGTGTTGAAAAAACCGAAAAGCGTTTCAAATATCAACTCAGTTCATCAATATTTATAGTAAGCAAAAGCTAATAATGCCTTTGTCTCAGGAATATCCGGGCTAGTCAAATGTCTCAAAATTGCATTGTAAAACGCTGAGTTACGTGGAATGTCTTAATTATTTTAATTTAAACGTATTTAACATTAAATAGTATAAAAATATATCCAACTTTAATACAAATGTACCACCATAATTATTGATCTAGATAAAATTAACGCAACAAACATAATAACTAACCATTTTAATACTTTTTTTTCCATTAATTTATGATTTTTAAAACTGCAATGAGCATTTAATAAATAGACAAAACAAAATATCTGTTTTTTTCATTGATAACAATTTTTGGATATTGTAACAGGTAAAAATAAAATATAAAAAACGGGATCATTTATATCGATGAATCCCAAATAAGACGAAAATATATTGCAACCAACAGTAAATTTAACTAATGCTCTGGATTATTTGGTAAAGTAACAATAAAGTGACATTTAATTTTTTTAACTTAAGTAATTTGAATTTGTTAAGAGAACGCCTTTTTCCAAATTAACCGATAAACAACTTTTTTTTCAATGTATACATGCCTTACAGTACGAATCCATCGTATTTGAATTTTCATACACTTCGATTAGTTAAGAAGGATCATTTTACACCATCTTGCGTGAGACTTTACCTACAGGTTTTTCACTTTCAAAGAGGTAGCACTTACGAAATTAAATTGTAATCGCAAACTCTTATATTAAATTCCTGGCATAAGAATGGGATGAGTTACAATTGTATCTCATATAAGGGCGTTCGATTACATAAGACCATATATTGTTAGAGTACGATTCAATCTTAATGAAGGCTGTGAAGTATGCAGCAAGCGCAATAACGTGCAAATTTCTGTTATTTCCCGCGCTCCTCTACATAGAATTATAATTTACAAAAAAGTAATTTATAATTCTTATCACCTACATCACCATACATTCCGTTTACGGCACCGCGACTTATGCTAATTCTCCACAACTTCCACTTTGAATCGCGCTAGGTGTACCTTAAATTGATTCTTACTAAAATATTATTAGGGTTATTAAGAATGTGAGTGTAACCCTGAAGTGGAAACAATAACCCCGTCAATTGTGACCGCGGAAGCTTTACATTTGTGCTTGTGTTTCTTGGAACAAGTCCATCTGATCCTGTCACCGATGAGGGAGCGAGAGTGTCTGAAGTATTTGTGGCCACCGATGAATATATTGGTGGTCTCCCTGGCGAAGCGAGCTCGGAGAATAGCAGTGACTAGGTCTGAAATCCAACAAGACTTATAACATTGGTAGAGTCTATTATGACAAACATATTTGATAAGAAAATGCTTAATTAAAAAAAAAAACATTAAATATACTTTACCCATCGCAAAATTAAAGCAATGTTAGATTAAATAATAAAACAACAATTTTAAACGAATTTTATAATACAAAAGTAAACGAAACAAGTTTTAGGTAAGGATAGAAAATAAATGCTTAGAAATAAGAGAATTGAATCTAACAACAGATCAGTTTGAAGATTAGAAAATGCAGATACGTAATAAGTAATTCGACACGGCTTAAAGTATAACTACTTAAGGTTGTACCTATAGTTTGATATAATGTCCTGATTTAGAAACAATAAATTTTGGTGCTTCGTGATTATGTTCCTCGGTGAGAAATGTCAACTGGCCATCTGCGGAGCCTCGTGCTTTGGCTTGGCAACCGGCCTGATATTTTGAACAGTACCAGTAGTTTGGTTTGTACTGAGTGAAGGTATAACCGTTTATCATTAGCCTTTTCTTTTTCTTCTCATTTGTTGTTGGCATCACAAATACTAAAAATGAAAATTTTATTACATTATAATATAATTAACATAAAAGCGATAATGATAATAACACAATCATGCTCTGCATGCATATTTGCTACTTTTTTTTAATAAAAAGGTACCAAAACTCATAGAATTAGATTCAAGACTACTTAGAGAAATATCGTCGAGTCCGAGCACACTATTTTTTTTGACTCATCATCTAATTTTTTTACGTTATAAAATCCTAAGTTATTGCGATGTCTTTGCAAAGTTGCAATCGAATCGATAAGAATGACAGGTTACTTATAAGCAACTGCCTTATACAAAGGTGTGAAATAATTATTTTATCTAAGACATCTAATAACGTCATGACAAAAAAGGATGTTTTTGTACTTATGATGTTTCATTAGCAACAAGATAATTTTATCAAGTTTAAGCTCGAATAAACATATGTGTTATAATAAAATATAAGTAATTATTTCAATATTTAAAAAAAAAACAAAATTCATATCGTTTTTTTACTCGCGGTTGACAACAAGCAATTGTGAATATCAAAAAGCTACGCCGAAAACAATCAGTTTCGAGGAAACTCCATCCGAAACATCACTCATTACAATAAAGATACATAAAAGCTCTACTTGACAGACTTTTTCGAAACACAATTTTTCGAATTATATATTTATTAGACTTGCAACGAATATTCGGTTACTATTCGGTATTTGGCCTATTCGGCTGCTTTTATTATATTCGGCCGAATACCGAATACTTAAATAATATATTTTGTCATAGAGAAATAATTAATAAAATGAAAAATTAAAATCGATTGATTACGTATATATTCATATTTTCATTTCTGTTACATAATGATTCTAGTAGTCATTGGTACATAACACAGGTAAATAATCATCTTCTGAATTGGAAAAATGGAGGATTCTATGAACATCTCTGTGATTCTATGTATTTGAATTTTTGTGGTAATCAAAATTTAGAAGGGTAAGGTTCTCATTTCTTTTATAATATTTTTCTAAGTAGTCATTTGAACATAAAACAGTAACATAATTTAATCATTTTCTGTGTTTAACAAGTTAACAGTTTTTAATTCATTCAGTCGTGTGATGAATGGTTACATAATAGCAATAATTTAAAGTTTACGCGCCGTTTTTGGCCATATCTCAAAAGTTGGTTTTGTCATTTAGCCGCATTTTAGATTGAAGACGGCAGATTAAAACAAAACAGAGGAGCGCGAAACAATCACGTCTGTACAGGTTTTTGGCGCTTAAATCCAGCCGAATACTTTTGTCTAATATTCGGCTATTCGGTCAGGGGCCTCGCCGAATATTCGGTATTCCGTAAACTGCCGAATATACTATTCGTTGCAAGTCTAATATTTATAAAGAAACTACCAATAAGCGAATAATGTGCAATAAATTAAGAATTATTGTTTTTTACGCTTCTCGAAAATTCAATGTATTTTTTATAAACATCTGATCACACGTCTGTTTTTAATGCTGGGCCGTGGAGCAGTGTGACAAGCTAGTATTGCCTGCTTCAACAATCAATTTGACATTTTGCCGAATAATGTATTTTTATACTAATAACTAAAATTGGAGCAATCGAACTTGAGAAACAGAATATTGAGGACAATTAATAGCCCTAAAGAATGATATAATTTATGTACATAAAACATTACAGCATTTTTTATTAAGGAAAGCGATATTCACAAATTAAACACGGGAAATAAAAATAAACTTACTATTCCAACTTTTTGGTTACAAAAAACACAAAACTCATTTTTAGGGAAATGTTTAGCTTATTATATTATTCCCTTACAGTATTATTAAACCACCACTTTATAAACTAAAAACTCATGTTAAAAATACTTTGTTTAGCAAAGGATATGATCGAGTCCAAGATAACTTGAATGATCAAAGTGTTTGGGAATAAAGGACACTTCGCTCATTGAAGTAACCAAAGTCTTGTCAGTAAATTTACATGTAACTGTGTAACTGCTGCACCAGCTATCTACGCGTTTGGACTTTATCACCACTTAACATCAGGTGAGGTAGAGTCATTTGCCTACTTGGCTATATAACAAAACACACACAAAATTTTTGTACCTCATTAATTGCATAAGAGCATTATACATAACATTATGTTATAAGTAAGGTAATAAAAATATAAACTACGATAGCGCTGTATAAACCTTAGTGGTATTTGATGTTATCGCAAGCCACTGTTTACTGCTTTTTGGATATGGTAAAAAATTAAAAAAGTATAGTGTATTGGAAGCGACATAATTTCATGTGAATGTAGCTAGAGTCTGTGCGGAAAGAGAATGGGATTTAGATAGGAGGGCACTGTAGTGCTTTTCTACCATATTTGTAAGGTTTTACCCCTTTTAGACTCGATTAAATACAAAAAACCGCAGGAAATCACAACAACAAACAAATCCGTATCAATACAAAACTTTGACGTTTTACAGATTGCTGGGTTTGATTGCCAAATAAAAATCTTAATGTTAGTTCCGTTTTTCGCCACGCCCATTCTCTTACCGGACAGACTCTACTTCTGTTAATGCTGAAAAGTTTCTTGCGCCCATTCTTCAACAGCTAAAATATATCCTGAATGGTAGGTGAGAAAAAAATATGTAAGATTTAAAAGAGCTTTAAATAATTCAATTTGAATAAAGTATATTTTCATTTTATCTAGACGTTTAATCCTTCAGTTTAATTTGACATATTGTCCATTGCTTGTGATATGATAGGCGGGTGGTTCGTGGTTATGTTGATCAAATAGAGAAGTGAGCTGTCCGTCAGTATTGGTACGTGCTTTAGCTGGACATCCAAATTTTCTTTTCGTACAATACCAGTAGTTCGAAGTATACTCTGAGAATGTGTACTCGTTGATCATGAGCATTTTCTTACCACTCTTGTAGCGACTTGGAAACGCTATCACTGAAAAAATATATCATTAGTTTGAGATTAAACACACTTGTTGATTAGCTAAAAAAATTTAACTTTAAAAACAAACTAAAAAAACGAATGTAAGCAACGTTTATTTACAAAAGAAATGAAAAAAAAATGACCAAGTCTGACCTCGCTCTGTTGTGTCCAAACGTATGAGAACTCTTACTTTGAAATTTAGCAGCCTCTATACATGATACGAGGTAAATAGAAATCTTGTACACTTTTATATGAGATTTGAACAATGTTGACTGTGTCATGTACACAATTCAAAAATATTATAAGAAAGTAAATAAATGTCCGTCCACAAAAGATCGACTCAGTAAGTACAGCTTCATTATGCCATCACAAAGCGTACGAGATTTCTATTTACCAGGTATCATGTATAGACACTACTAAATCTCAAACGTTAGGGTGCGGCCAGAGTGCACTCAGATTCAGATTCAGATTCAGATTTCGAAAACAAGCGCGAGAAATAAACAGTGTAGTCTAAGCAGGTTGCCTGCTTTTTCTCGCGCTTTTAAGGCCACATAGACATTCTTACATCAAAGTTAAGCTTAATCCAGCTTAGTAATTAATGTATTGTCAGCTATTTGAATTCAAAAGAAATGGAATGAGGTTTAAACATAATATACCTTAGATCAAAACAAAAGGGATGATACAGCCACCCGGCTCAGAAGTGTACCGCTAAAATTGTGGTGCATGACCACAATTCGCTTAAGCCACAATAGGACATTCAAACACGCTGTATGTGCACTCAATATAACAATATTGCGTATATTCTGTGCTATAAAGATAAAACAATACCTTCGATGCTTTTATAAAGAACACAAATAGTTCAATAATAAATTCCACGGCAACACTTTTCATTCGTAAAACTATAAATAGTTTTTTTTATCAAAAATCATGTCAGGAATGTTACCATTAGTTTTAGTTAACAAGAAAATAACAATAATACAGTACCCCGAATTCGAATATTTTTGCGAGTCCGAAATGTTATTGTGAAATTTTGTAAACATTTAAAATGCTATGTTATTAGCAAAAAATAAACCTTATGATTAACCCCTTCGATGGTTATCATAAAATATGTTGTATTTTTTTTCGAAATTTCACGAGGTTGATTCCCAATTGTGCAGGCGATTTTAAAAAAAAAATGTGAATGCAGTTATTATTAAAAATAAAATGATGTCTTCTTTCAGTAAAATATCCTATCTTCAATATTATATATATTTTCCCACCATGTAAAGGAGCCGTGTGACGTCCTGTATATTGTAGTTTTAGCTGGTGGGTAAAAACAGTAAAGTAACGATGAATATACACATTATTTATTGAAATATTTCAGTGTCTCACTTAACTTTTGAATAAGTTCGTAATTTATATTTTCAAGAACACTCAATATCTACTATAGGTAGACCGCTTAAACGAGTCCTCGCCTGCGGGGTAAAGGGTGTGGGGGACGAAAACGGGGACCGTGAGAGTTACGGGCGGCATGCACATTCTTGTCAAAATTACAAGTGCCCGCCGCCCGCACTACTCACGGCCCCCGTTCTCGTCCTCCCCCACACCCTGTACCCCGCAGGCGAGGTTTCAGTTAAGCGGTTTACCTATAGATCCATTCAGTTTCTTTTCCAGGTATATACTTACTCAACTATCCTCTTTGATCTGTTTTTGTTTCAGTTTACTGCGAATATGTGATAAACAAGGAGGGCAACAGAGTGCTATTGATTAACGGCCATAGGTTCACAAAGCAAGGAGGTACCGGAGTCAAAGTCGTATGGAGATGTAACAAAAGGAATGTAGGCTGCAAGGCAAGGGTGTGGACAGTAGAAGATGTTATAATCAAGTATAAGAACGACCATGAGCATAATAGAGGCCAGTGAGACAAGGAAAAGAAGAGTAATAGCAGAATAATAATTAAAGCAAAAAAAATGTATTTTCAAATTAAACTAGATATTAAAAACAGTGAATAATAATTAAACGTGATATTTTGGTATATCATGTAACATATGCTGTATTGAAACAACAAACACTGAAAACGCCGATTCATAATGTACCTACTTTGTAAGTTGTGAAGTTTGTACGGAATCTCAAAGGTGCGTTCCGACGGCGTGTGTTGCCGCGGTCGCGCTCGCGCCGCGCAGTGTTGCCAAACGTATGAGAACTCTAAGGGTGCGGCCAGAGTGCACTCAGATTCAGATTCAGATTCAGATTTCGAAAACAAGCGCGAGAAATAAACAGTGTAGTCTAAGCAGGTTGCCTGCTTTTTCTCGCGCTTTGTTTTCTGAGTCTGAATCTGAATCTGAATCAGGAGTGCACTCTGGCCGTACCCTTCGACTACACTGTTTATTTCTCGCGCTTGTTTTCGAAATCTGAATCTGAATCTGAGTGCACTCTGGCCGCACCCTTAGAGTTCTCATACGTTTGGCAACACTGCGCGGCGCGAGCGCGACCGCGGCAACACACGCCGTCGGAACGCACCTTTGAGATTCCGTACAAACTTCACAACTTACAAAGTAGGTACATTATGAATCGGCGTTTTCAGTGTTTGTTGTTTCAATACAGCATATGTTACATGATATACCAAAATATCACGTTTAATTATTATTCACTGTTTTTAATATCTAGTTTAATTTGAAAATACATTTTTTTTGCTTTAATTATTATTCTGCTATTACTCTTCTTTTCCTTGTCTCACTGGCCTCTATTATGCTCATGGTCGTTCTTATACTTGATTATAACATCTTCTACTGTCCACACCCTTGCCTTGCAGCCTACATTCCTTTTGTTACATCTCCATACGACTTTGACTCCGGTACCTCCTTGCTTTGTGAACCTATGGCCGTTAATCAATAGCACTCTGTTGCCCTCCTTGTTTATCACATATTCGCAGTAAACTGAAACAAAAACAGATCAAAGAGGATAGTTGAGTAAGTATATACCTGGAAAAGAAACTGAATGGATCTATAGGTAAACCGCTTAACTGAAACCTCGCCTGCGGGGTACAGGGTGTGGGGGAGGACGAGAACGGGGGCCGTGAGTAGTGCGGGCGGCGGGCACTTGTAATTTTGACAAGAATGTGCATGCCGCCCGTAACTCTCACGGTCCCCGTTTTCGTCCCCCACACCCTTTACCCCGCAGGCGAGGACTCGTTTAAGCGGTCTACCTATAGTAGATATTGAGTGTTCTTGAAAATATAAATTACGAACTTATTCAAAAGTTAAGTGAGACACTGAAATATTTCAATAAATAATGTGTATATTCATCGTTACTTTACTGTTTTTACCCACCAGCTAAAACTACAATATACAGGACGTCACACGGCTCCTTTACATGGTGGGAAAATATATATAATATTGAAGATAGGATATTTTACTGAAAGAAGACATCATTTTATTTTTAATAATAACTGCATTCACATTTTTTTTTTAAAATCGCCTGCACAATTGGGAATCAACCTCGTGAAATTTCGAAAAAAAATACAACATATTTTATGATAACCATCGAAGGGGTTAATCATAAGGTTTATTTTTTGCTAATAACATAGCATTTTAAATGTTTACAAAATTTCACAATAACATTTCGGACTCGCAAAAATATTCGAATTCGGGGTACTGTATTATTGTTATTTTCTTGTTAACTAAAACTAATGGTAACATTCCTGACATGATTTTTGATAAAAAAAACTATTTATAGTTTTACGAATGAAAAGTGTTGCCGTGGAATTTATTATTGAACTATTTGTGTTCTTTATAAAAGCATCGAAGGTATTGTTTTATCTTTATAGCACAGAATATACGCAATATTGTTATATTGAGTGCACATACAGCGTGTTTGAATGTCCTATTGTGGCTTAAGCGAATTGTGGTCATGCACCACAATTTTAGCGGTACACTTCTGAGCCGGGTGGCTGTATCATCCCTTTTGTTTTGATCTAAGGTATATTATGTTTAAACCTCATTCCATTTCTTTTGAATTCAAATAGCTGACAATACATTAATTACTAAGCTGGATTAAGCTTAACTTTGATGTAAGAATGTCTATGTGGCCTTAAATTAAAGAAATATTAAAAAAAAACATTTATTGAGCTCAACCACGTATAACTACACATACTCACAGAAAGCAACCTATACAAATATTTACCTAACGAATAAATAGCATTTTTTTTCTATCATAACATTCAATTTTCTAGTTAATAATGATTATGTTCAGTAACTTTGACACATTGGTCCTTATATATGGTCGCTATAGATTTGCAACCTCTATTTCTTTTGTTGCATCTCCATGCAATCATTTGACCGTTATTTAATAGGTGTGATTTATTATATGTATTTCCATTTATCATTAAAACACGTGACCCACGGTTTGTAATTGTGTAAGATGCATTGCAAACTGAAAGAAAAAGATAATCCAAGAATTAGTAATGGTACACATTAGATGTCTAATTATTAAATCACAGGTAAACAGTTTAGGTGATTTATTATAAGAATATGTTAAGCAACTGATAACCTATTCTAATGAAAGATTGGTACATATTGTCACCAAAACCAAGAACTTACTGGAAACAGATTTACCCAGAAGGCCGCTGTTTGTTTTTCTATGTAATATAAGAAAAAGCTTTTTATTATTTCTTTTTTTTTAAGCATTAATATGCTGGATTTATAAATCTAAAGATTTAATTCGATTCGGTCAAGGTTTCAGACAGGATTCGAAACCGCGTTTTCCGCTATCCGCGAGCGAAAAAAGAAGTTCTTTAAATATTATACTTTTATTTTAAGCATTTGCAACGATATTTCGATATCTTTAGGAAGATGTTTAGAAAATTACTTTTTTATTATATAAAATATTCTTTATTTCCTGTTCTTAAATAATTAAAGTAAAAGATCTTACTCGACTACAAAGAAACCACATTTTTTCTATTTTTTTTATTGAATTCTGAACATGTTTATACAATTAATAAAACTAATTGTATATTTACAAATATATTGTGCAAT